GAGAGGGCTGATCTAGTTCTATGGGCAGTGTGGATGGGTTCTGTGGGATCCGAGGCTAACTGAAGGCAGACTGTTGATATCCCCACGGAGAAGATCGTCTTGGCAGATTCCCAGTCTGGAGTCGAGGCGGACTCTGTCGCAACACACATTTCCTCCTCCTCGCCCCGCTATTCTTTCTATCATTACCCCGGATCTGATGTTGTGATCTTCGTGTACACATGTCCCACTGGATCTTCGATCAAGGAGCGTATGCTGCACGCCAGTTCTCGGAGAAACGCCATCACTGTTGCTGAGCAGGAAGGACTCAAGATTGAGAAAAAGGTATGTGTGCCCAAGTTGTGGATGGTTGTAGTGCTTTGGTCGTTTGGAGTGCTCACAAATATCAGATTGAGGCATCTAGCCCCGACGAGATCACTGGCGATCGTTTGCAAGAGGAGGTCACCCCGGCACGAGACCAGGGTCCTACGCGAGGATTCGCCAGACCTCGTCGTCCCGGCCGGTAAATCGCTATTGTATAGATAGGCTATGTTCTTGACGAGGCCAGAAGACTCTATGCCTCAGCGGGCATCGATCCGATAGCTGTAGTAAATATACCAGCACTGTGCTAGACTTGCCAGGTTATTGTCTAAACTTGGTAATTGCTTTCTCTGACGAGACCAATGAAGGTAGACCTGAGATCTGGGTTAGATAGATCATTGATCACATCCTCAGATACCTCCTTTGAAGCGCTGGATGACCGTGGTCATGGCCAGACTGAGAGACCTGGACCGGTTTTCCAATGTGTGCAATGTAACCATCTTAATTATTGCCTGATGTAGGGTTTATAAGTAAAGGCGAGAATGATTCGCCGAGGTCATCAGTGCCGGACACATAACTGGTGATTTCCTTGACTTGTTGAAGTAACTTGGGATAATTGGGATAAACATTAGGTATTTCAAATTATCATATTTGTTATACGAATATGCATACATCCAAAGCAACAAAGGAGACTCCCGGGTATTTGTCACGGCCTGAAGAACTAAAGCCATCTCACCACATAATTTGACAATGAAAAGTCGACTACAGTCGACTGGCTAATAAATCACAGTGTCCTCGTTGTCCTCAACAACCTCGCCTCCGTCATCATCTCGGTGGGCATCATGCTGATCTTGGACGGCACTTTCCTCCACGTTAGCAGTGGTTTCATCCGTTTTAGCTAGATCGGGGGTTTGGTCATTAATGTCTACACCCACCGTTTCCGGAGCACTAGGGGCCGTCTCCTTAGATTTTGAATCTGTCGGATCTGCCTCGTGCTCTGGAGCTGATGGCTGGTCCCGAGGACCATCTGTTTGCTGCTGCTCTTCTGACACTTGCGGTTGTTCGTCGCCTGCCTGTTGTTTTGTTTCAGCCTGAGCGGGCTGTGTGTCAACCTGGGTTGGTTGTTCGGGCACAAATGCCTCCGGTGGATATCGGGCTTCGAACTCGGCGACTTCTCGGGCAACAGTCGTCTCTGCTTCTTCGATCTGCTGTTTTATCGCTGCATCGTCGCCAGGTCGGGGTTGCCATGGTTTGTAATACTATCATTGGTTAGCTGATGCTCACTATATATGAATGGGAAAGCATAACTCACCAGAGCCGGCTCGGCCTGTGTCTTGTGGAAATGGGCCAGGGCAAGCATATTCGAATGCCGTGTTTGCATCTGAGAATGGATGTCAGTAAAATATTCATCGCTATACCCTAGTGGTATGTAAGTAAATAGAACATAAACATACCGCTTCTCGCTCATACAACGGCATTTCCCGTCTCCGAATCTCATCGCGCTGTTCCTTCCGCCTTTTTTTCAATTCACCGTATTCGGCATCTTGTGACTTCAACTTCTCTTGCTGTTTCTTTTCAATATCAGCGCGTCGTCTCTGTGCTGCAGAACTTGAGCTCTGCGAAAGAGTGCCAAGCAGCCCCCCGAATAACCGCTGGCCCCGCTTGCGATCCTCGTCTCGACCCCCACGCGGTCTTGTAGGCTTCGTCAACACAGAATTATCTGTCGCAGGCGGAGGGGATGACGGTCGACGCTGTTGGGAATGCGGGGAGGCATTGCCTGTGGAGCTGAGTCGTCGGCGCTTAGTGTCGTATTCCGCAGTTGAAGACTTGCGTCGCTTAGCTGTCAACTCCGGAGGCTGCTGAATGGTATCCTGGCTAGGTACAGCCACAGCCGATGCGAGTGTCTCAGGGCTGGCAAAGTAACATGCACGTTAGCTAGAGCGCTCCAATTACAACGCTTGCGCGTGGGTTGCACAGTATGAAGGGAACCATACCCTTCAGACATCTTGGTCGACAAACAGCGTTGTTTATAAGAAATAAACAATTTTTGGAGAGAAACTAAGCGACGCTTTAGGTTCTGATCCCAGTCAAATATTGGAGTTGAGGTCAAGAGGCGCAAAATAATAAGGCGACACGCTGCTTAGAATCACACTGCTTATGATCACGTGCACAGACCACTTTAGTCTTGGTTCACCGTCGGCTTCTCTTCTCTAACCTTCTATCACATTTATTCTCTTCTCACTTCCCCACGATCGCTAAATCGTACCTCATTCTACTTTCTACAGCTACTGTTTTAATTCTATTGCTACCTTATTGAAATTACAATGTCTCGTCACCACCCCGACCTCGTCATGTGCCGCAAGCAACCCGGCATTTCTATCGGCCGCCTGTGTGACAAATGCGACGGAAAATGTCCCGTCTGCGATTCCTACGTGCGCCCAACAACCTTGGTCCGCATCTGCGACGAGTGCTCTTTCGGAAACTACCAGAACAAGTGTGTCGTCTGCGGCGGCGAGGGCATCAGTGATGCGTTCTACTGCTTTGAATGCACGCGCCTTGAGAAGGATCGCGATGGATGTCCTAAGATTATCAATCTAGGAAGTTCGAGGACCGATCTGTTCTACCAGAAAAAAAGTTTCAGGAATCAATGATCTTGGCTTGTGGCTTGGTGTCCAAGTGGAGGGGAGCCAAGCATGAGTCTGGCGGGTTTCACAATTTTCAGCATATTTCAGCCTAGCAACGACAAAAAAGACTTTACTACCTTCACAAATCCGAGGCCATGCAATACATTCTGCCGGCGGGCTATCTAAACCTGCCCTGACTGTGTTTATTTGGTGTCGCCTGCTTGCAGCGAGTCGGCGAGTGGAGGAGATCAACGAGCACGTGGACCCGGATATAACCCAACGAGATGGCCCTGTCACCTGGCCTGCCTTTGTAGCATCGTGCAATGCTTCCCGGAAAAGAACTGGCAGACATGATGGCAGTGTGCCTTGGAATATCAGACCCCGAGGATCCGCGGACACTGTGCAGATGGTTCGACGAACTCAGGACCAGCGGGGGCTCTAGGTGGAGCAGCTGGACTGGAAACAGCCCTACAGGGTTCATGACTGACACATTTCGGCTCTCGGTCATGTCTTGTCGATTGCCCAGACGGGTATGGCATGACCCAAGCCCCAAATCTGCGGCTTCAAGGCCCCATGCGCAGATCTGTTCTTTCGAAAAATGTCTTTCTTTTTATCTTATTCCCCAAGGAGCGTCTGACTTCAATCTCACAAAATCATCATTGTTTCTGTGCATACAAGTGGTCAGAGGCCACGATGGCTTCCATTTACAAAGTAAATTATTGTATTCATATCTCCAATAATACAAAGGCAAATCCATGAAAAGTTTGCCCCCAAAGCTCTTATGCCCGCTTCGTTTTAACACACTTTGTATATCTCTATATCCTGACCCCGAGAGGCTCTTGCCCCTATCAATATTATATTCCATTTTTCAGCTACCGTCTAAACATTCTATATTTTAACAAGCAAAGTTATCACAAATACACCCGGGAGACTGTGCGTTCTCGATGTCACAATCACCTAAAACTCGAAGGGGAAACACCTTTGGAACTCATCCCAGAGGCTATAGATCAACAACTTATGTAGGACCTGGTACCTAGCGGCCCTTCTTCAGCAACTGTGTTGACACAACCTTGGATAATGACCAAGTTTGATTGGCGTCGAACCAAGTATCCAAAGTTGTGCATATAAGAGTCCTCTACACAGTTGATTGGCTAGCCATTGACCGTATTGTTCTCTTTTGTGGTTTTTGCTGTTGCTATCCATGTCACCTTGACTCGAAACAAATAATATTGCGAAAAACATGTTCTCTGCACAAAATTTGCAGAGCTTGAGGCTACATTAAATTCTGGGAGATTTAGCAAGGACATAGCTTGAGAGTCGTTGAGGTTTTCATGGAACGAGAGGACGTTCAAGGTGTGTTGTTGAGTTGCTGGACAAGCAGATTTCGAACGAATATGATTAGAGCAAGCTATGCAACTAAACTTTGGCTTTTCCATTTCCATTATTTGTGGATAAATTGTAATTAGTTTATATACTAAGCCAACCTTTGAAAGGACTTTTGAGGATCGCTGCTGTTCGATACTTCCTTCGCCTGCGCTCCTCTTCTCTCTGTTCTTTGGTGTGCACGTTTGTTCTACCTATATCAATATCAATATCACTGCTCTAGCTTCCTTTCTTCTCATTCTGCTACTAAATTTAGATAATGACATCCACTGTTTTCATTCTAATGAGAGAATTACATATTATTGTGGCGTAGCATAACTATGTACATGCAATGTAGGGTTTATAGTAGTGTCTTGGCGCCCCACTGTTCCAACGTGCCGAGGCACAACTGGGAGGGACCCGAGGGGGATCGGTATGCCATCTCTCCGACATCCTCTCCAGGGCTAGCTTCATGCATGATTATATATCATTGATTATTCTGAAACCTATTGTTTTCTCTTGATTTGTATAAATTCCAAGTTATATATTGGTCAATTTCACCAGATAGCCTGTGGGGTTGTACAGCTAAATCTAGTGCTTCACAGCTTGGACCCTGGAAAGGTGTCCACGAATCTTCGAGTTACACACGACATAAATCCCATTTTCCTTGGAGACAGAACTTGAAAACATAACTATTACAGCTTAAATCAACTCATCATGCCAGTCGACAAGATCCGAGTATCGGGTGACTCCCGCATTGAGTACAAGACCGCTACCCTGCACGGCCATAACTACTGTGAGCATACCAAACCACGAAAGCTTACACTCAATGTCTTCTTGATAGAATCAATATGAACTGACTATGTGTAGCTTACATTCTCAGCCAGCCTAAGTCAGGGCAATACAAAGCTACCGTCTTCCTGGTACGCGGCCAGTTCAACAAAAAAAGTCACACATGTTAACGTATAATCTTCATAGATCCATGGATTCCCCGATCTCTCTATGGGATGGCGATACCAAATCCCCATGCTCGTAGACATGGGTTTGCGGGTAGTAGCTCCCGACTGCCTCGGATACGGACGAACAGTGAGTCTTTCCACCTTCTCCCCTATTACGAAATATCATCTAACAGCAATTCAAGGACGCCCCGGACGATTTCACTCCGTATGCCCACAAAAGTTGCGCAGCGGACATCAAAGCCCTAGCAACCCATCTAGGCGAAACCCAAATCATCCTAGGTGGACATGACTGGCAAGCACTTCCCCACGAGCAACCTTTCTTTCCCAGAGCCGCACGACTAATACACGGAATAGGGGCGCAGGACTTGCCTACCGTATCGCCCTCTGGCATCCAGAACTAGTAAGCCACCTATTCACAGTCTGCGTGCCTTATGCACGACCCATGGCCAAGAACATCTCTATCGAAGACCTTGTCCGTAACGTGACACCGCACTTTGCATATCAGTTGCAGCTCAAGAGCGGGGAGGTGGAGAAGGCTATTCAGTCTAAGGATGAGATTCGTCAATTTTTGCTTGCGCTTTATGGGGGGTCGCACCGAGGCGGGTGAGTTTGGGTTTGATGCCCATAAGGGTCTGTTGTTTGATAAGATTGGTCACTTGAAGCCTTCGAGATTGTTGAGTGAGGAAGTATGTCGAGTTTATATAATTTGGGCTTCGGTTTGGGAATTGTTAAGCTGACTTGTTACAGGAGTTGGAGTTTTATACGAATGAGTTTGCTCGGCATGGGGTTCATGGACCACGTATGGTATCATCTGGATTCGTTGGTGAAGTTCTTGCTAATTATTTCTATAGTTAACTGGTACCGCACTCGCGACGTGAACTACAAAGATGAGCTCGCTATTCTTGACAGGGAGATTCAGATTCCTACATTGTTTATCCAGGCGCTGAGGGATCAGGCTCTGCCCCCTCAGTTGGGCAAGTCTATGGCGAAGCATTTCCCGCGACTGACCCTGAAGCAGGTTGATACCTCGCACTGGGCTCTGTGGGAGAAGCCTGAGGAAGTCAATGAGATCATTGGAACTTGGTTGAAGGACCAGTCCGTTGCCGATGGAAGGGCTGGTAAGCTCTGATCAGAGAAACGATAGGTATAGTAGCACAAAGCAAAGAAACGATTGATTGATTATTGCCAAAGTCCGTATCTCATATCGTCAAAGTATTAAGAATATGTGCTTCATCGCAAGTCACGAGCAGTTGCTTGAACCAGCATGATTACACAGGGATGGGACTCACCCCGTAAACGATGAAGCTATTTAGTACTGGAACACCTTAGTCTCGATTTTACAGCCGACTTTCTCCAAGCGGTCGACATAGTCCTGACCCAGAGTAGCGGGAGTAACAATACCACCACGCGAGACCTTCTTGATCTTCTCCTCCTCATTAAGAATAACCATAGCAGCCTCAGCCAGCAACAGTCCAGTAAAGGGGTACATACCGCCGTGGTAAGTGATCTTACCGAAGACGCGCTGTGGCGAGGCACTATCTGCAGTAGCGATGGCATGGTACTCTAGAAGGTCATTTGCCGAGTCTTCTCTGCGCGGGCCAGTGCCAGGGGCAAAGACGAACTTCTTTACCAGCCAGCGCACCGGCGGCAGCGCAAGCAGCGAAACCACAACCAAGAAGCCGACGTGGATAGCAACGCCAATTAGGGCATTACGGAACGACAGGAACTGACGGAAGAAGAAATTCTGCCCGTACAGCTCTGGCATCAGGCTGCTGCTGCGGTGCACGATACTCATGTCGCAGACACCGGACGGGGAGGTCGTCACGGTACCTAGGTCGCGAATTGAGCGCACGCCGAAAACCTTTTCCAAGATTGATTCGCCGGGGACGTTCTTTGGTGGCAGTGATGCTGTCAACGAGAAGGGTGTCATTGTCTTGGATAGCTCGGACATTGAAAAGCCATCAAAGATGGTTAGAACGGTATTGATGGTGCCGCCGCTAGGACCGGATGATCTGTTGCGAATGTATTAGAGACGTGGTTCTCTATTGGCATGAAATTACATACTTCATTTCCTTGATGGTGCTATTGATCTGGCGGGTTGAAGACGATAGGTCCTCTCGGACTCGCTTAACCAAAGACCATGCCAGCAGATCAGCGGGCGCACTCTCAACACCAGTGCAAGGAATTATCTGTCCGCAATTAGTATGGATATATCTGATAGCAATTGGCTGTAGAACGAACAATAGCGCCATTAGCCTTGGCGGTCTCGTGGTACTTGTCAATGATCAACTTGACCCAGGGTGTTTCTCCGGTGCTGTAACGATCAGCAAGTGTTCGAACGACTCGGACAATTCCAAAGCAAAGACTTACACATCCACATAGTGAGTTCCATTGACAGCGCATGCCTCCACGACTGGGGTCGAGTACAAGTGGTAGGGACCCACACAATTGATAACCAGCCGCGTTTTCTGGGCAAGCTCGTTGAGCTCGGTAGAATTCAGTTGAACGACCAGGACATCTATAATCACATCAGAGTGAGCATTGAGACACGAAAAGTAATAAACAAATGATTCCATGAGGTTATGTACCTGGGTCCACACGATCCGGGTTCAGAGCCTTCAATTCCTGAGCGATAGGCTCCATTTTCTGCGCGGATCGACCGGCGATAGCCCATTTCAGATCGGTAGGAAGGTTCTGCACAATGTGCTCAGCGCAAAATCGGCCAGTATAGCCGGTTGGACCCAGCAAGACCAGGTCATACTGTCGGTTGGAAGTCATGGTGGTTGAAGTTGATGTGTTTGGAGTCTATGATGTAGTTTTGTAGAACAAGGGGAGCTTTCGGCAAATCACAAGCTCCTCAACACGCTTCAAGATGCCGTGTAGGGTGGGAAGGGGAGTAGGCGGAATAGCCAAAAAGAGGTCTTGAAGCTTTACGTAGGACTAGAAGCAACACATGTTACACAATCGAGATTCTACCTTGATCTGGGGACTACAGATGTTTATATTTCATGGCCGAGATATATCACGTGACCGGATAGATCGATTAGCCCGAGAAAAGGGAACTGGGGGAAGTGGCTGGTCTCGAACACAATCAGGCCGAATTAAAATAGACATCAATATACGGAGATAAATATACAATAATTGCACGAGGTGATTTTGCATGATGTAGAGAGAAATTAGGGTATGATATGAGACACCTTAAATAGAGGGCATCAAATTAAAAAAAAATCCAGTTAACCAAAAAGAAATCCCCAATATCCAACATCAAATCAAACAAATTCTGGGAAATTCCATCCCAGTCATCTCCACCAACAGCGTCATCGTCTCAAAATCTGGTGGACCTTGTGGACCTTCGAAACACAAAGTAAGCATTGGAAACCTGAGGCCATCAACTTCCTGACATAAGCCCACTAACTCAAAATGGTCAGGTGATCGCACGAAGCCAAGAGCCCTAAGCGAGAATCCACAGCACAACCCGCCCTCATTCAAAGCGTCTTTTTTGGTCTCCTGTTGAATACCCATCTTCATCCTCTACACCAGCCAAGATGACGAAGCGCACCAAGAGTATGTGCCTCTTTCTCAAATTCAACACACTGCATCCCGAATTGCTCAATGCTAATTAATTTCCACAGAGGTCGGCATCACCGGTAAATATGGTACCAGGTATGACATTCGCCCATTTTGCGCCTACACGACTGTGATTTCGATCGAGACACACAACCGATAGCGAGGACTCCTACACGACGACACGGATTCTAACAATTTACCAACAGATACGGTGCCTCCCTGCGTAAGCAGGTGAAGAAGATGGAAGTCACCCAGCACGCCCGCTACGTCTGCACTTTCTGCGGAAAGAACACCGTCAAGCGCAAGGCTGTCGGTATCTGGGAGTGCAAGGGCTGCGACAAGACTGTTGCCGGCGGTGCTTACACCGTCTCGTAAGTCGCCCATCATCGCAAGGAACGACGCTGTGATCCGACTCGGGGATCGACCTGAGCTCGGCGCACACAGTCGTGATCCACAACGCACAATATGAGGAAAGATTACTGACAGTTCTATTTTATCTAGCACCCCCGCTGCCGCTGCCACCCGCTCCACCATCCGTCGTCTGCGTGAGATCGCTGAGGTCTAAATGGGAGGATTGTGTGGTTTCATTTCTCTTTACGGTTACGTCTGAATACCAAAAATGAATGAAAAAATTCGGGATTACGAATTCTTGTTGCAATCCGCTTCGCACCCGAGTATACCGTATATCGATGTGACTGGTTTTCCAAAGTTCGCCTCGGTCGCTGCCTACCTGCTAGACAAACTCACCGGTTCATCCAAGATCCTCCACCTGATTATTTCGACGTTCTGCGACCGTGTGCATCATCCATAGGGATGGACTGCAGATCTGCGGTCTCTCGTGGTTTCTCAGGCGCTGGACAGTCACGTAGACTTGACGGGACATGAGTGGATCTTGATTTGGAGGTCACCTGGTCTCAACGTATTGTTTCGAGTGTCTGGACCGACTGCGCTCCGGACCATATCTTCGTACTTTCTGTGTGCACCTGGACATTTGCGCCAGGTGCCTGGGCATACTCCGACCCACATGATACATACCCTACTCTGAGCGATACTAGCGCCTGGTGATTTGCCCGGAGATCTTACACGATGACTAAGGTGAAAACTGTCCACCTGGGCAAGGGCCCAGGTGTGATTCGGGTTTCAACTAAATCATGGGCGCCTAATGTAGTCATTTCTCAATTTGTAGATCGGCCACCTAGCCTCTCAGGGACACTGTAGTTTGTGTTGTACAAGGACCTTGTTGGATGGCAGGATGCCCACCATGTCCAATACTTAAAAGGTAATAGCCATCTGTCTTTTTTTTTAAAAAAAAAAAGAGAAAGAACTATAATTCTTTATTATTTTGATAATATCGTGATAATATCAATATCGAAGTTCAAACCAATCCAGGGCATGCATCATTCGCCTCCGTCACGTTCCTGCTTTGCGTTAGTCCGGTAATCCGGCCCACCTTCAAAAGGCGCTCCCCACACCTTTCTCGCTTCTACACTTCTCGAGCGCTTCTTCATGGACTTCGCCTTCTCTTATAACTCTGTCGCTCATGTCCGATACCTGTATTGTTTGTTTAGGAGACCTTGGTGAAGGAGCGGGTGATCCTCTTGAGCCTGTGAGCCTTGATTTGAAGGATGGCGACTTCAATGGGCTCGACTCTCAGATCGCTCAGCTACTTCCCTGTGGTCATGTCCTACATAATAATTGTTTAAAGCCATGGGTTGAACGGGCAAACAGCTGCCCGATATGTCGGCGCAGTTTCAATATGGTGGAGTTGAGTGATAGTGTTGGAGGTATGACGACCTCCCCCTTCCTTTTGACTTATGATATGGTCCCCTTTAGATTACAAGTACTCACTATATTGATTTGATATAGGAACTGTGACTTCATCCTACGCTGTCCAGGACCGAACCCAAGTGGCCGAAGTTGACCCTTCTATGATTATAGAATATGTGGAGGATGACTTGACCGATTTTCAACCATGTACAATTTGCGGACAAGCCGATAACGAGGACGTTCTCCTTTTATGCGATGGGTGTGATGGACCTTCTCATCTATACTGCCTGGGTTTGGACGAGATCCCCTCGGGGTCATGGTACTGCCAACAATGCGAGGAACTACGTGCTCTGGGACCGGCTCCCGAGGTATCAGCACGGCCGTCTCGGGCGATCGAACAGCGGAGTCGACGAACTAGAGCTCAGCAGAGACGACTGCAGAATCGAACCCAGACAAATTCTCTACATTGGGCACGAGTCTGGCAATCTGTCTGGGATCACCTGAATCTCGATCTTGATTTCCCATTCGATGACGATCGATCTGCGGAACGTGCGATGCAACAGCGCCGTCGCGAGGAGGCCAACCAGCGCGAATTCCAAGCCTGGCAACGCCGCTTTGAAGTCGCTGAGCGACAAGGTGGTGGCAGCCGGTTTCGCGACACAGCATCCCTGTTCGATCTTGACCATGTCCGACCATCACGACCTCGGGCGCCTAGAGTTCCGACACCGGAGCCTGAGTCCCTGGAGGAGATGCGGGCTTGGAACGCTTTCGAGAGGGCACGAGAGATCGAAAACAACCCGAGCGCAGCCAGGAAGCGCAAAGAGCCGACCATGTCGCCGTCTCCGGAACCCACAGAACCAGAGCGCAAGTTGAAGCGTCCTCGAACGAGGAGGCCGCAGGAGCTCGCAGCTCGTGCACAGCAAACTCAAAATGGTGAATCCTCCAGAGCTGCGAGTTCCAATGTACGGCCAAATGGTGATAATCCCACCGGACCAAGCTTCCTGTCATCACTGTTGAAGGAAGTCGAGGACGCACCGAGTCATTCATATGGACCGTCAGCCTCGACATCTGTCGCTCCTGCCGATCATCCATCCCCTGGTCCCTCTTCCCCCTCCATCTCTCCTGCCTCATCTCGTTACTCTTCCCCTCTCCTCTCGGCGGCCACACCGCCACCTTTCCCGCGAAGCCGCCCCATATCCCCTCTTCAACTATCATCCCCAGCCCCACCCACATCTCCTCCATTCTCTCCCGAAGTGTCATCTGGTAGTCCAACATCGAATGGCGCCAAAGAAGTCAAACCACAACGCCAGCCCGGTCGTCCTCGCTCCCGCATCCCCCAACGAGCACTGTGTTTCGGGGCCTCCCGCTCACCCGATTCATCCCCCACTCGAGCTGGTCCATCCCTCGCCCTCAAAGCCGATATACAGAAAATGGTGGGCACTGGACTAAAACCCCACTATAAGAAAAGGATTATCTCGAAAGAGCAATATACAAACATCAACCGGTCCATCTCTCGCATGCTCTACGAGCGAGTTGGCAATAAGGAAACGCTTGAGCCGGATGAACGCACCAACCTTGAAACAGAGGCTAAGCATGAAGTGCAGAATACAATTGATGCACTAAAGATGAAGAGCAAAGACAAGCAGAAACAACGCATGGTGGCGACCGACACAGACGGTGATCTATAATGACTATACCACGAACTCTTCCCCGCATTTAATGGCGTTTCTTCTCATCTCAGCGAATCCTACTCTTTGGCTGCATGGATTGGAATGTACAACTGGCGTTTGATACTTGCAGGCTGTCTTCTTTTCCACTTCTTCTCCTTCTGCGAGGCATCTGTGTGAGAACTTTTTTGTTCGTAGCACTGCTTCGGTGGGACTGATTATTTTGTTTTTCTTGCGTGGAGCTAGTCTATCTGCGTTCTCTTTGCTCCATATTGTGTCTAAATATCATTTATCTTCTGACCGTAGGAGGAGGTACGGCCACTCCTAGGTAGCCTCGCCATCTCTGGTTTATTGGGTCTTTCTATTTTCCTAGTTGGGGCTTTCAAGTTTATATACTTTAAAAGATAATTCCTCGGGTAATCTCTGACGGATAATTTATAGGACAGCGATAACTCCCGACTCAACCGGGAGTCGAGTTGGCTACACATTTATGGATAGGTCTACATAGAGCACAAAGTACACATAGTAAGTGCAAAGATATTAACTGTCACATGGGATAAAACTGATTTTGAACAGTGTGATACCACCGGAGCCCGGCCTACAAGACATACCGGAATCAAGGATTCTGATCCGAATCGACAGTTTGCAACGATCAAATTAATAAATTCGCTCTCGCACTGGCCGTTATATTAGTTAAATTATCCTGGTACGCATTTTCATATCCCTTCACCGTCCCGGTCTTAATTTTGCTTGCGATTTCCAAAACGCACGCAAGCCGATAAATAAGCAGTGACACTGGCAACGAATGAGGTCACAGCAACAATAAATCCGAGCATATAGCGAGATGCATCACTATCCTTGAAGATCAATGGATCAGGAAGGATTCCTAATCAGAAATCAGCCCCGGCACAACCAAACCACAAGCAGACGATCAGATGACCAGACTTATTCGGACAATACCCAGCATAAACCCCCGACGATCAGTCTCCAGTCGATTCTGCGGAGAAGCTTTTTCTCTTCTTCTTTTTCTTCTTCTATTCATGTGTCATGGCCGCTATAGTTGGTGAGAACCTTGTGTGCCTCATCATTATATTGTTGTATGAGAGGCCGTCATTCTTTGGCTTGTCGGAGCCTGCTATCTTGGAAAAGTACTGATGCCATAAACCAATTTTTGACTAAAGGAAAACCTAGAGTATCTGCTTCATTCTCTCGGGCAGCTATTTTACCTCAGAGAGAGGGGGCCATGGATCTAGGGGTGGGGGTAACAAAAGAAACCGAACAATATAGTGCGTAGAGTATATGGGTGTAGATCCGCTCTCGGGCTTAATATAGCCAACCGATATCAGACTGAAGCTCAATCTGGTAAGCCGGTATTGATATAATGTACATGCTACCTGAACTATGCGCCGAAGATCTTTAAAGACACCCCAACAACAAATACAGTACCTGAATGGCAAAGAATGCTGCCAATATACTTGAAGAGAATAGGTAGGATCAAGGGAGAAAATATTGAAGTTGTCATTTGGGGATATTTCAACTGAAACCCCAAATTCCATAGTCCCCGGCTCAGTACTAATCTTCCTGCAGCTATTGGCACTGGCATCATATTGAAGACTATCTATCAACACTACCACTCTCAACAGACCTGGTAACAGGGCCTTGATTCAAAGAAGCATTCTTGTCAGGTGTCCCAGCAGATTCTAAAGAGTCTCCCAAAAGATCCTAAAAATCTCCTATCCAGGGCTGTTGGGGCCAGCGCAGTCCGGTAACATATGGGTGGCGTAATCTGGTACCCTTTAGCCCAACAGCACAACATGGAAGAGGCATTGCCGCAACATAACTTGGCCCTGTCTCAAGTCGTATGCATCATCATCATCATGACGAATCACTGGTGACTTCTCTATGCCTGGTCCTCTTTCAAAGTCCGCTTGTCTGAGAAAAATTGGTTGATCATAGGTTTTGAGGAATGCATGCTTCATTTGCATTTCCTCCGTCTACCGAGTAATCTGACCTATGTTGGCTAAAAAGCTTGAACCTCAGGCTTAGGTAAAATCTTACCAATTAGACCAATTAGCCTAGGAAGGCGTCTGTCTTCCGTCCATTTGAGTCGGTCATCACCCTAGACAAATTATGCGCGCGGATCCAGTTCAATATGTTTGGGCTTGGAAATAGCTGCCCGTCCAAAAGAATTAGCTGCAAAATACATAGAATACATTGGACAAAAAAGGTGTAAATGTGCACTGCGATTTTTCGTGCATAATATGTGATTTCGGATATCTTTTCCCGACGCCCTATAAGGCCTTGGAGACCAGTGTCAAGTAATGAACATATATATGTATGTATATCCCTGGGTCTCATCTCGGCTTCATACAAGCGCATACCGGCTGTATAGATGTGGGGTTTCTTCCCCACAAATCGGGGCCTGTCACACGTGGAGACTTCCGGCTTCATCGGTCAAATGCCGGAGCCCAGATGGCAAGGTAACCTATAGCCGCAATATAAGAATGGCCATATATTGATAGCTAGGGCATAATGCCCCAACTAGATACTTCATCCATTTTGACAACTCCAATAACACAAATCGCAAACATTCTTGAATCATGGGTAGCATCGAAGAACCAAACTTCTGTCAGAAGAACAAAGACCTTGACTACGATGTTCTTATCATCGGCGCCGGACTCTCCGGCATTTACTCGCTATATCGAATGAGACAATTAGGCCTGCGGACGAAAGTCTTAGAGGCCGGCGGGGGGTGTAGGCGGAACGTGGTACTGGAACCGATACCCAGGCGCACGATTCGACTCTGAAAGCTATTCATACAATTTCTCATTCTCCCAAGAAGTCCTCGATGAGTGGAACTGGTCAGAACATTTTGCCTCGCAGCCCGAAACACTACGGTACTGCGAATTCGTGTGCGACAAGTTCGATCTCCGTCGAGACATGCAATTCGACACGCGTGTTACCGCAGCACATTTCCAAGATGACACCAAGTCATGGCTTGTAACAGACGAGCAGGGACAACAATACACCTCACGCTTTGTGGTCACCTGTATTGGTATTTTAAACAACTACACCCTGCCTAATATCCCCGGAGTCCTGGATTACAAAGGCGAAGCCTTCCACACTGCCCGCTGGCCGGCAGAGCAAGTTGACTTCACAAACAAACGCGTCGCAGTCATCGGCACTGGAGCAACCGCCATCCAAGTAATCCAAGAAGTCTCCAAGACAGTAGGTCATCTGACCGTCTTCCAACGAACCCCGAACTGGAGTCTACCTCTCCGGAACGCACCCCTCACCCCAGAAGAGATGGACGAAATCAGATCCCGCTACCCAGAGATATTCCGCAAATGCGCCGAGTCCTGGCACTGTTTCATGCACGTACCGGACAAGCGAAGCACCTTCGACCTGACCCCGGAAGACCGCGAAGCATTCTGGGAAGAGCTGTACGCGCAACGCGGGTTTGCGAAGTGGATGAGCAACTTCGGCGACATCAACACGAGCAAAGAGGCGAATGCGCTGTTTAGTGAGTTTATCGCGAACAAGATCCGGGAGCGCGTACATGACCCCGTCACGGCGGAGATTCTTATTCCCAAATGTCATGGCTTCGGAACGAAACGGGTGCCCATGGAAACGCGCTATTTCGAGGCGTATAACCAGCCCAATGTGCGCTTGGTGGATGTCAAATCCAATCCCATTGAATGTGTCACCGAGTCTGGGATTAAGACGAAGGATGAAGCCTTTGAGTTTGATATGATTGTATATGCCACTGGGTTCGACGCTGTTACTGGGTCTTTTACGGCAATTGATTTCCGGGGTGTGGATGGGGTTAAGTTGAAGGATAGGTGGAGTGAGGGCCCACGTACGTTCTTGGGTCTGTTTGTTGAAAGCTTTCCCAATATGATGATGGTTATGGGACCGCATCAGATGTTTGGGAATATCCCTCGCAGCGTGGAGTATGCTGCGAGCTGGGTGGCGCGGTTTATTGAGTTCTGTCGAGATCGGGGGATTACATTTGCTGGGGCTACGCAGCAGAGCGTCTTGGACTGGACGGAGCATGTTCATACTTGTGCGGTGGGTTTGCTTGCTAATGATGTCGATTCTTGGATGACTGGTGTCAATAAGAATTTGGCACACAAGCAGAAGAGAATCATTGCACGATATCAGGGTCCGGCTCCTGGATATCGAAAGCGTGCTGAGGAGGTAGCCACGAGAGAGTATCGGGACTTAGTGCTTGAATGAGTTTTGTATAAGCATCGTTCGGAAATACTTTTAGTTCTACAGAATATGATTGATGTCAAATATCCCTATATAAGTGGCTAACAAGGGTACTGGGCCGCGTGTGTAGTTTGTGTCCTCAACGACGCAGGACTATAATAATCTGGTTTATCGGACTCAAGGTAATATATGAGGGATATTCTAGTATGCTATCTTTCGAGCTGTCCTTCTATATGTTGTTTTGGACCTAAAAGGAAATTAATCAAAAATATTGAAACAATAATAATGGAATAAACTAGTCTATCAACACGACGGCGACTCATCAGCGATCTCGACATAGAAAGACAAATCATTTCCCTCCTTCATCTCAAACTCAGTAAACCCATTCCCCATGAACCGGAACCGATTAGCACTGTTATACTCGATCTCGAAGTCTTCCGGCCGAATATCACTGATCAGTCTCTGGAACAAAATCGCACTGCCACCAAACAGTGCAGTAACCCGGCCATCCACCTTGTTGCGCTTGTACCAACTCTTACAACCGCCGGTCCAGACCAAGGTTTTGTGAATTTCGTCACCGTATTTCCCAAACGCATCTTCAGCAGCATGCTTCGGTACGACGTATTTGATATCTTCAGTCGCCATCTTCTTTATCCATTTCACGAAGTAATCTCCCGTCCAGTTGAGAGATTCAACTAGAGAGCCATGTCCGCCTAGACAGTTAGGTCCCATCATGATAAAGTAATTGGGGAAGTTGGCGGTGGCAACTGAAAGGTAGGAATTCGGTTCATCTTCCCATTTCTGTGCTAAACTGGTCCCGTCCTGTCCAACTATTGGGTAGCGAGGGCAATGGGAGACATCGAAACCCGTAGCACAGATCACTGCAAAATTTTAGTAACCGATTTTTGGGGTAAGTAAACTGATAAGATTGACGTACCGACATCACATTCGAAGACATTTCCGTCTGCTGTGTGAACTGCATTTTCCGTAATCTTAGTAATAGTGCTATTGCTAAGATTGCAATTTGGCTTTGCAAAGGATTCTAGATATCCTGGCCCTGGAGTGACGCGGCGACAACCGACCTCCCATTTTGGGATCAGCTTCTCGCAGAGATCGGGGTCATGGTTAAGCTTTTCGGCCATTTGCTGTGCGCCAAATCGAACTGCTGCTTCGTTATTTTCGCCTTTGATGAACTATATACCATTTAGTAGGGCTTTTGTGGTATTTGGTATTTGCCTATAACATACCAAGCGGAAGGCCTTATTAGTACGCGAGATGATAGCCTTTCTGTAGTCTTTGTGGGCCTCGGGATCCTGAAACTTCTCCCGCTCCTCTTCCAAATACGCAGGGTTAGCATCATCCACATCGCGTCCTAGGTGCTTTGATGGCGGTACGCGATAATAAACCCAAGCTGGGCTTCGCATGAAGTTGACAACCTCCGTTCCGGGGAGCTTGGCCATTTGTGGTGTGATTTGAATGCCGGACGAGCCATTTCCAATAACTGCGATGCGCTTGTTAGAATAGTCGAATTCATGATCCCAGTGTGCCGAGTGAGTTGTGTGGCCTTTGAAATCGGACAATCCAGGAATATCAGGCCACGAGGGATGACTGGAGATTTGGATTAGCTTGTTACTTTTCTTCCATATCTAGGGAGGGGGAGGGGAATCATACACAAGTACACCTTGAGCTGAGATTAGAACATCGCAGTATTCCTCTCGCTGTTCGCCCTCATGCTCAATAACCAATCTCCAGCGCCCGTGATCTTCTTCCCAATAGGCACCGGCTACTCTCGTGTTAAGCTGAAGATCCCGGTCCAAATTCCACTTCTTTACTGTCCGTTTGATGTACGCCTGGATCTCGTCTCCACTGGAGTAAAACCGGCTCCAATCAGGATTCGGATCGAAAGGGAACGCGTAGATGTGTGCGGGGACATCGCACTGGACACCTGGGTATGTATTGATCAACCATGTGCCCCCGACATCGTTTCGGGCTTCATATATCGTATGATCCACAAATTCTTCCAGCTCAGGAAATCGATGTTGGAATTTATGCGCCATTAAGAGACCTGAGAAGCCTGCTCCAATGGTTACGACGCGCATTTTGCGTGGTTTATACGCGTAGTCTGTATTCAGCGGGATAGAGTTGCTCGACGAATTTGCGCCGTTGTGGCCATTTGTAGCGGATTTCGTAGTAACTTGGTCTATCTTGTGAAATCCGTTGGTTCCATTTGTACCTTCCATTTTAGGAACGTCAAGCATTTCGCCATCTACCGGTACTGGCACAGAAACAGTCATCTTGAAAATTGATGTTAATGAGCTTCATGTTATTTGAGCCTCGGTGTCTGACTTTATATTGAAAGAAAGAAGAACACGCATGTCAGAGGTACTGCGGGGAGGCGACTATCCGAACTTGGAAAGCCGTCACCCAGAAGATCTCCATCACAGACCATTGGTTATGAATCCAGCTGCCAGTATGATTTATCGCAAAATTGCAGTATCATCAAATACCGGCATAGAACGCCAAGTGAATGATAAATTACTGCCGGTAAGAAAGCCGAAGAGCCGAGGGTATCTCGGGAGTCTGGGGAATTTTGCGGGGGGACTTCCCCGCCTTCGCAATGCGAAGGCAGTATAGTCGATGGTGTAATTTTGTACTCATGTATAATTTCCATCATGTCTGCGCCGCTTTGGTTACAATTCACGGGTACTCAAACCAAACGGAAGCGCGCAGAGCTTGCATGTGTTGCATGTCATAGCAAGAAGGTAAGATAACTAGTTCTCCGCGGTCTCGGCAAAGAGGCTAACGGCTGCAGATTAGATGTGACCTGCAGACGCGAGGGGCCCAGGGGTATAGGAACTGCACCAAGTGCGAATCCGGCGGCAAAGAATGCCGGTGAGTGATTCTTCCCAGGATTTTCGGATGTATATGGCCTGACCCGGTCACAGAACGAGGCCATCAAAACGAGGTCGGCCCGCTGCAAGTGCGGTCCCATTGTCACCTCCGGTAACCGAGACCAATTCATGCGTTCAAATAAACCGACATGGCTCTATCCCGGATCATCTTGCTGTTGATCAACCATCCTCTGCACCGCGTGGGGCCGGGTTAGGGAACGATAACCGGTCCTTGGACTTCCCTAGAGATTTGCTTCAGAGATCTTCCATCTCCCCAGCTCATGTTGAGCAAGCAAGAACTCAGAGTTTCCACAATATCGAATGGTCGTTGAGAGATGACCCATCACCGAGTCAAGTGCCGCCTGACCCTCAGGGCAGGCCTATGCAAGCCATGACCAATGATTCTCCCGCCACTCAACGAACAGAAGACCACTCGGAGCATAATGATAGCTACCCAATTGGTCATATATTTTTACCAGAGCTACAAACAAATGCTCGAGCTCAGGAGCGGCTCATTGCCGAAAGAATGCCTGAGGTCCTCAACCTACCTGACCCAGACCTACAACAAACATTCGCAGAAACCTACTGGGAGTACTGTTACACATGGTGTCCAGTCCTAGACCGAGAGACCCTCTCACAAGAGCTCGCTCGATCTCCGTTACTGGTCAATGCACTAGCGGTGGTTGGTAGCAATATCAAACCGCCCATGATTCCACATGATGGACCTGCCGGTTATTACGAACGAGCTCGCACCAGGTTCTACAACGATGAAGAGGCAGACGTCATGACCTCGTTGAAAGCTATTTCTTTATTTTACTGGTGGAGTCCACGCCCACCAACTATTCTCCATCGCCATTCTTCTTGGTGGTGGACTTCGGTGGTCATCCGACATTGCCAACAGCTAGGTGTACACCGGGAACCGGCACAAAACCATCCACTGCGTCAACAGATCGACCTCAGCCTCCGGCGTCGAATATGGTGGACGGCATTTGCTCGTGAACGACTGACTGCTTTGTGTCAAAGTAAACCGTGTGTCATTGACCCCGAAGATTGTACTCTATCAGAACCCACATTGGAGGATTTCGCCCAGGATGCAGATAAAACCAAAGCTGAAATCTTCATCTACTGGGTCCGGCTTTGTGCTATAATTGGCAAGATCGCAAAATACCTCGCTCGCTCCAGCGACGCCGGATCTTCCGTATTCCCAGCATCTCTCGCCCGCGATCTCATCGGCTGGGTGCAGTCGCTCCCTCCCCATCTTCAACTACCAATTGGGTCAGATCGCACAACCAAATTCAATAGAGATGTGCATCAGCTTCATCTCCCGTATCTGGCCGTCATTATCATTATCCACCTTCAGCGATCCTCGCCTTCCCAGCCTCTCCCGCAGGCGTATCCACCAGCAATACTCGCCGCGTCATGCATGGCTCGCATTATGCGGGACATTCTAGCACGCGGGGGAACCCGATTCCTCATGGCCATAACAGGATGGTATTGCGGTACGGCATTTATTGCGCTGCTACAAGCTCTTCGAATCGAAGGTCTGGCCAAAAGCGCCAACGAAGATCTAGATATCTTGACTCTGGCAGTGGACCAACTGCGCATCATGTGGCCCACCGCTGCAGTATTCCACTCAGGGTTTGGCCGTCTACGACCTAGCGCTACCGCGCCGGATTTTGACTCGCAGCGAGCGCCTGGTCCGGATCTCGGTATGGGTGATGGAACGGTGTATATGGAAATGGCAGATGGCATTGATTGGACTGCCTACTTCCCGTTCGCGACTACTGAAACTAGTGGCATCGCTGGTAGACTGCTAGTTCCACATACCGAGGAGCTTTTCTTTGATGATGATGCCTTTGCTGATGCTATGCTTCAGTTTCAGGATTTATTTGAGCCTTGCGATACCCTTACTGAGATGAACCTTTTTATGTAATAATGTCGAAGACTTCTACACCACTCCCTATGTGGTCTTTCTTGTATTCCCTTTTGTGTCATACTACTTCCATCTTACTCTTAGCCTAAACTAATGCAAGACTCACCGGTGGGTCAATCTTGTGCAACACGTCATTTTCGGTCAACGGCTACCAAGTGAGCCTGTGCTCTGCCAAAGTGATTCTCATTGGTATCTCCAAGAGATGTATATCCTGGCGAATATGCGGGGAAGCCAAGCCGGCTGCCGGCATCGGCTGTCCTTTCTGGGACATAGCGAGCCTAAGCCTACTCTCAGTACGCCACCTTTGGATATTTCGACTGACATATCATACATAAGCAGCTAGATGTATATCATCTTTTTAAAAACGAGCTTTTTGTTCTCTTCAGCCAACTATCTCTTCTCCAAATACAGTAATCAAGTCTGATCAGAAATCATGGGCAGCATGGCACTACCATCCACAATGCATGCTTGGAGAAAGCATAAAGGAAACCCAAATCCAGTATGCTAGCAAATGTATTTCACAGAATACATACGCATTTTCCTGACTCTTATAGGTTTGGGAAGAGCTTCCTTTACCCTCAACCCCTGCCACGGGTTTTCTAGTCAAGCTACTAGCATCCGGAGGTACTATCCAGTTCACGTCAAGTTCCGAATTCAAGATCCTCTTTTCTAATATCCCCTGTTCGTGATAGTGTGTCACAGTGATCAACCCCTTTTAGACATTGAAGACCGGCCGCAGTTTGATGAGCAGTATACACTTGTATGAACATCTCTTCACGGGAAGAATACTAAGAGTAGAATTGACATTTTCTTCCAGGGCCATGAAGGATGCGGAGAGATTATACAAATAGGTGAAGGAGTCACCGATGAACGGTTCAAACTGGTAAGAAGATCCATCACTCACTAATATCGAAGCGTCACTAATTTAGAATTCCAGGGAGATCGAGTGGCTCTCATTGCAGTCCCCGGATGCGGGCTAGACACCTGCTCTGAATGCTCGAGGGATCTGGCACAACTCTGTCCGGCTGGAATGCACCACGGGATTGGACAAGACGGGTTCTATGCTGAGTATGTTGCGGTTGATGTTCGCGCCGCGATCCCATTGCCTGATGGTGAGTTTCAAATCTCTCTTTATAAACCCGCCGAGTACCTAACCTAACTCTGGTCATAGGTGTTGACCCAGCCGTCGCTGCAGTCGCTACTGATGCTGTCACTACTGCTTATCATGGTATTACTCGCCGCGCTGAGGTCAAGAAGGAAGAAACTACTTTTCTTTTTGGACTTGGGGGCCTTGGATTCAATGCGCTCCAGATTGTGCGCGCTATTGGTGCGAGGGTCATTGTTTCCGATCTGCGACAAGAAAAACTGGATGCCGCTCTGAATTTGGGTGTCCCAGCGGAAGATATCGTTCCAGTTGGGAAATCGGTGCAAGACTTTGTTAAGGAAAATGGGTTGCAGGGGAAGATTGATACTGTACTTGAATTTGTGGGCAGCAACCAGACTAACCAGGACGCACAACAGATTGGTAAGTATCCTCGCTAGGTTTCTTTGATTGTTTGCTAACACCATATCCCTCTTAAATAGTGCGTCCGGGAGGAAAGATCCTATGTGTTGGCACTCTTGATCTCATCAATGGATTAGACATGAAGATCGGAATTCGGAAGAGACTAAGCATTATCTTCACATACGGTGGACAGTACCGAGATCTAGTAGAGGTGCTTGAGTTGATTGCCAAGGGAGTCATTCAGCCTCAGGTAGAATTAGGCAAGTTGCAGGATTTCCCGCGGGTTCTCAAAGAATTGGGAGAGGGCAAGATCAAGGATCGGATAGCATTAGTGTCGGATCTTGTATGAATTCGTTGGAAGATATTTAATGCATTTGTATCTTTGAGTTTATCGAAGGTTGAGGATTTAGATGCTTCATGGCTATGTGAAGTTACGGCGGCCTCATATGTTTTTGGTGACCCCTTTAGATGTCTGTTTGATATAGTCCTTTCCTCATGCTTTACAGGTAGACGACAGAAAGTTATAATAACCTTTGAAAACTTTCATCAAGAGATGCAGAGAAAAAGAAAGTGACGTATGGATCTATAGGAGAGAATAGAGAGTACATTTGGGGGACACTGCTATCTGATCATAATTTTATGCATTGACACTTGCGCTCTTCGTCATTCCAATTCCTACAGCAGCTGTTGTCCCTGCGTCAACAGGCAGAATAACACCAGTCATCCACCGAGCGTGAGGTCCAGCAAGGAATACAACAGCCCCAGCACAGTCCCATCCATTTCCTTCAGTCCCCAATAAGCTTCGTTTTCGACGGGCCTCACGCGCTTCTTCACTCATACCCTTCCCATACATCATAGGCGTATACAGCATCTAATATCATCAGCTTCGGTTCCATACAACGGCAAAGGTGAACATACCCCTGGACAGACACAGTTCACACGAATCCCATCGGGCGAGTGATGAGCCGCCATAGCACGGGTCATGTTAACGATGGCACCCTTGGCAGTCGGGTATAGCAGATGAGGTGTACCCCCCTTCAACCCAGCAACACTTCCCATGTTCACAATGCTCCCTTTGATTTCGCCCTCATTTCGGCTCATCTCAGGGATGGCATACTTAGCCATTTGAACCATACTGGCAACATTGATTTCCATACTTTTCGCCCACTGCGTCATATCGACTTCCACCGCAGTGCCCGCCGCGCCTCCAATTCCGACATTGTTGATTAAAATGTCTAGTCGTCCAAACTGTTCAACTGCGAAGCGCACCGCTGCTTTGCAGTCTTCTTCAGATGTGACGTCTGCGTGAATCGCAAGCGCGCGACCACGACCGGGTTTCGAGTTCACGATTTCAACAGTCTTATTGGCCCATTCCAGGTTGAGGTCGACGCAGAGTACGTCGCAGCCATCATCGGCAAGAAGTATTGAAATGGCGCGTCCGTTTCCGATTCCATCGCCCAGGCAGCCTGCGCCTGTTACGATGGCGACTTTGTTGGCTAAAGAACGTGATGGGGGGTCGGATGGAATGCCGGACTCCATGATTATTGACCTGATGATTTTGGTTTGCAATTGGGTTTACTTGTCAACTATAACTAAGCAAGTGCGCATACTATCTACCCTTATACCTACTAGATCTTTGCTCGTTCACGGCATACCTAAATAGTCCATCCTCATGCGGGGTTACCGAATACTCAGATACGTTGTTACCGGTAGCCGAGCCGAGGTGATGTAGGGAGTAAAACTGATAGTGACATGTCTTTCAAATAAATGTACCTGGTCATGTTGTACACACATTTGTACATGCTGCCCCTCCATGCCCCTCCGTGAGTGGGTTGCTCTGCCATTTCAGTGAGCGGGATTTATTAAATCCGGGTAGAAGGTGAAATTCTTGTTTATTTCATCTTCTACTCTTCCTTCTTCTTTTAGTTTTAGCAATAAAATTACATGTATATTTATCCACAATGGCCGACTTCACTGAATATGGTACACCTAGCGCCGAATGGATCGCCCTTGAGGCGACGCTACCTGAGTCCCCCAAGGACCTCTCGGTGGAACAATTAAAGGAACTGCTAAACAAGGGCCGCGAGGCAAGAGCCGCCGAAGATATGCTCGACGGGCTCAGTGCCGCAGTTCAGCTGCACGACTACACAATCACAGCTCGCGACGGCACACCCCTCGAAGCACGCACCTACCGCCCCGTCGGCGTTCCAACCTCCGAGCGCCTGCCCGTTTACGTCCATTTTCACGGCGGCGGTTTCTTTTTCGGGACACTTTCTTCTGAAGACGCCATTTGCTCGCGGATTGTCACCTCGCATGTCCAGAAGGGTACCCCAGTCGTGGTCTTGAATATAAACTACCGACACAGCCCTGAATATACCTATCCCACTGCTTGGAACGACGCTGAAGATGCATTTGTCTGGCTACACGAGAATATTGCCGAGATCGGCGGGCTCAGCGAGCAAGTTGTCGTGGGCGGTATTTCAGCTGGTGCATGGCTGACTGCGTCGTTGGCGCTGGCTCAGCTGCGCGGCGAGGATAAGCGCTTAGCTGCCTGCCCAAAGATTGCGGGACAGGTCCTCATGATTCCTTGTCTTGTACAGTGGGATCACTATGCGCCGAGACTAGAACAACTCAAGAGTCCTGAGTTGTCGAGCTATGTGCAATGTGCCGAGGCTCCTGTCTTGCCGGTGGCTCGAATGAAGATGTTTAGCGGGCTTCTTGGACTTAGTGACATCAAGGATGCTGCTGGAGACCGTCGGATGAGCCCTGGAAATGCCACCGCGGAAGAGGTTAAGGACTTGCCTCCTACGACGTTTGGAATCGCGGGGAATGACCCATTAAGAGATGAGGGCCTGTTTTATGGACAACATCTCGCTGCTAACGGGTAAGTTTGCTATATTCTTCGAAATTTTGGGTGTTCAAAAACTAAATCTTCGATCAGCATCCCTACCAATGTTCATGTCTTCCCTGGTGTTCCACATGGATTCAGGAGGTACAAGCAGCTTCCCCAAATCAAGAGATGGGACGAGGTTATGAGCGACGGCATTTCCTGGGCACTGTCAAGTCCTGCACCTGGTCCGTTTGAGATTAAATCGAAATAGGACGTTAAGTTGTAGGCCGAAGATGGGTACATCATTTTGAGATCTGTTAGTGGGTATCAGGATCGGATATCAACCAGAACATAGTCGTAGTTGCCCCGCTATCAAAGTTGAATGAGATATATTCTCTGTGCCAGATGAGGAAATAAGATTAATTCAATTCGAATCAACAAGGCATCTCGAGGTGAATAAAAGAAGACGGATATGGACAAGAATGGCCCTGCAGGCGATTCGCCGCTCGGACCCACAATGCCGATTGTCCGATCTGGCAGTCCATGTGAGTCTTCCTATTCATCTACTCTGCTGTTTCTTATTTTCTATTCACCTTCAATTGTCCGATCATTATGCATGTCTATTGTTCACTACATGCAATGTAATTCTAATCCGCTTTCAATCCCGCATTGAAATAAAGGGCGGGCCCCTCCTCTCCGACCATCGCTTTTGCGCAAAGCGTTGCCCCATTTCTTGTGCGCGATTCAGAACTAGAGCTTTTGTTGTGAAAGCTCATATCGTGCCCTTCTCTCACCCTCAAGCGTTGTCCTGCGAACCCCGAAACTCACACGCCACAATGCCCCCCTCAACCTCCACCAACGGAGCCTCCTCCACCCCCGACGCCCTCGAATCCGACCTCCTCGTCAAGCTGTCCGCCAGCAGCGCACTCGAAGATCTGCAGGAAAACCTCCTCGGCTCCCTCCACCGCTTGGGCTGGACCGACAAGGTCACCACCCTCGCCACAGAACTCCTCCGCGCCGGCCGCTGTGAGACCTTCGACGATGTAATGGCGGCCGTGCTCGCTTCCGCAGAGGGTCGAACTCACCCCGCACTGGGGGCCAAGCTCGCAAATGGTGAAACTACAAACGGAACAAAAGAGACCAATGGTGTCAAGAAAGGCAACAAAGTCAAAGACCACCCACATCCATACGACCCTTTGAAGTACATTGAAGAAATCGATATCCGCATTCCGGAGACTGTGGTCGACGAGGGTGTTCGCGGATTGAAAGATATTATACGAGAAGTGGCCGACTTGGAAGGCGAAAGTGCGCCCAACGGCGACAAGAAATAATGACAGACACCAGGCGCTAGGAAAGCAGCATTTCAAAATGCGATCATGCATGGCGGGTTCTTTCTAAGGAGTACAGATTGTTTCGGCCTGCATCAAATTTCATGGGTTTACATATGAAGTCTACGGGCGCTCTTGCATTTGAATAGACTACCAATTCATGGGGTTCTGAATATCCCCTTTTTCGAAACACTGCATTTTCCCATACCTAAAGCTTTGGCTCTTTCATAGCTCTTGATGACGCAGTTGGTAGTTGGTACTCCAGCCCTGTGCCCCACAATGTGTCTTTGATTATCTTTAATCCCCACAGATCGGATGCTCTTGTGAAACACTATGGTTCTGGCATAGATTTTCTCTTGTCGGATAACTTTGTTCGGATAGCCGAATCAAGCCCTTCGGTTGAAACGCCGGGGTTTCCGGGCAAACTCCACGGACATTGGCCCGAGGCTGAGGATGAAGGCCTGAACTTGGCGATAGGTGGCAGGAATTAATTCATGATGGTTCCAATTTTGGGCATCCAGCAAGAAAACAAGTCTTTAGAGGTTAAATATCAACGTCAATATACCTCAAATATCTCGTTATGGGTACGCCAGCCCCGTGGGTTGGACCATTCCACCAAACCGAGCATATTCAGTTTGTAAAATTCAATATCACTTCCTAGGATGACCAAGTACAAATGGATGAAGCGGCGATTACCAACTCTCCTCATAAAAATTGCGATATTGTCATAGCAACAGCTGTGTCTTTGGTGACGACCTATGACCTTTAGATAGTGAGACATCAATTCTAAGTCATGCCTCTAGGAGTAATAACTCGCTTCTGTCCTATTGTAATACTTATCAACAAGCCTGCTGTCCAGTCAGAGCTCATCGTAGTCAATATGAGCTTGGTTGGTACAATGTATACATGGAAACTGGTCGTCCACTATTTTCGCAAGCAACCCAATACCGAAGACTAGGACCGTTGTATAGTTTCATGGGCTGACTCGTCAGTGAGCTTTATCTTGCGTGAACAGATATGGATAATAGAAAGCTAATACTTGCTAGCACAAGGTAAATTGGGAATACACCAGCAGTAAATATAGGCTGAGAGGTCTGATGCGGAAAGCCTGTCGGAACTCTCATGAGCAAGATATTCAAATTGACTACGTTGCTCCGTGGTACATACTTATCCTTTAACAATTAAAGATCAATCGCTAACAGCATGTAGCTATATCAGAAGCGACATTTGATCCGCCGCTGTGTACCCGATCACAGGCCACTCAGTAATGATCACTCCGAGATCTGTTTCCAAGGAGAGATTCAATGGTGTTGGCATGGCAGATGACATCGAGAACGGGTATCTCAAGCGCACCAAAAAAGTTCGGCTTGATATTATCACAGATCAATGGGTGCCTAGTAGTTGGAGTAAAGGGGATGTAGAAGAAGCCACAAAGTTATAATTATTTGGGTAGGTGCCTTGGCAGGTGGGGTGAGTAACGAATTCAATTGTAATTCCAAAGATATTGAGTTCGAATGCTTTATAGAAATAGATTCTGATTGGACTGGTCCAACTTGACGGAGAATATATCCAACCTATGTACCTATATCGTATGTAGTATGTAGTATGTAGTACATAGTAAGTATTTGATGGAGTCGTATACTTTCTCGCAGTACCAAGGTTCGAGTGTTAACCCCCGGGACCGTTATGAAGAGTCCAGGCCCAGTCACGTGAACCCCCATTCTCATTAGACGGGGGCCTTCTTCGCCTAATCTCGACCTTTTCTCTAATGCCCCTAGACCTACCTCCATTTACATTTGACTTCAGGGAACAGAGACATATCATACGCTTTCACTGGCCTTACTTTCCTCCAACCCCCTATCCCGCCGTGGCCCTGAACCGCCAACCTTCCCCGCTTTACTCAACCTGTTGATTGCCGCGTACTCGCACTCGACGACAACACCCCTCCTCGGAAAGGAACATCGAGAACACAGTTTGATCGGAACACGAAAGACGCAATACAACCTCTGTCTGCTCGAAGATCTTGTGAATCAGCTCATGTTCGCCTTGAACCCTTCGAGCCTTGACGTCCCCTCGTTCCGCCCGCGCTTTCTATAAAATAGAGCATTCGGCGCATTACCGCCGACACCCATTTTGTTTGCCTTTGCTGGCCCTAATACCTCCACTCTGGCGGCGACGCCTGTGAACCCCTCAATACCATTCATCTCTACTTTCGGTGAAGATTGTCTTGTCACCAAAGATCCCCCGTCATGTCTCTCCACACCTCCTACCACGCCGACTCCGATGCGGACGATGAGTACGAACGCAGTGTCATAACTTCACCGCACCTTCACGTCGACTCGGAATCTTCTCCCACGGACTCCTCTATTCATTCATCAGAA